CGCTGAAATTAGCAAATCCCTAAATAGCAACATACTGTTGCTGACATCCAGTGACCTAGGCTACTTACTTTGGTATAATGGTTTACCTATTAGAGCGGATAAACTGGGACATCCGTTAGAGGCGATGTTGCTATCGGTAGTACATTAAACCCCTGCTGCTTCTGGTTAACGCTTGTACTGCGAATACTGACGGTTTATATACAAATAGATTAGAATTCTGTGGGAAAGGTGAAATTCAGAAGAAGAGGATGCGACCATTGGAACAATAGTTTTATTTTCCTGACGTTTCGGATCCCGTCGGGAATCCTTTCTCATAGGTAAGGGTAGCACAGTCATATTCATGCGCATAGTCATTGTCTGCGCATGACTATGACTATTCTACCTTTACCTATGATTAAGGATTTCCGACGGAATCTGAAACGTCAGGAAAATAAAACTCTTGTTCCCATGGTCGCATCCTCTTCTTTTGAACTGCTTCCTGGTACTCGCATAGTCTCCACTATTGGCAATCTCTTTGGGCGCGATGCGCTCCCATCGACATGACGGTGGAAAACATTTGCCCTTCGAAAGGTGAAATTATTGTTATTACAGAAGTGTCTTCGGGTTCTCTACAGCTTCTGTGTGCATACATATGTGGACTGGATCCGCAAAGAACATTCGTCGTTTTATCGCCTGATGTGAAAAAAAAAACAATCAGATAATGATCGAAATGGAACCAGGGCATGGCAAGCGCAAGCTGCATAGGAAAAGCCACACAAAGGGAAATGAGCACTGTGTGGGAATTAAAAGGGAATAAGACTTAAATTTTTTACGGCGGGCCCTGCATTGGTTAGACTGAGGACTAGTTTTCTCTGCTACCGGGTTTCAAATGTCGGCATCAGTTGGCTGAAAACAGTTCGCATTTATTTTTAAGTCTGTGATCTTTTCTCAGTTTGAATAAGCAATTTACTTCTTCCTTGGCGTCCCCTCGGAACACCTGTCAATCACAAGTGTCGCCGCGTTGTTAAAATTAGCATAAATGCGGGCTTTCCAATATTCCCGTATGGACTTGCATGAGAGGTAATTAATGCAAGTATATTCGTTTGGTAGGTCCTGTTGCATTATTCTATAAAATCTCAGCCTCGGTAGACACTTAATTTAAAAGGAATTTTATGCATAATGAATCGTATAACAGAACTGTACTCAAGATACTAATTTGTTGAATCTGACAAACCCAAAGGAGCTTATCTTTTTAAATAAATAGTACAAGAGCTGATTGTGACTATGCTCGAAAAGCCTTTTCGAGTATTTTTTTTACTGGTGGGCTAGGCAAACTATTAACTGTCTGACAGACTTAATGAAAAGTCTACAGCTGTGGAAAGACAAAATCGGAAATTCTGAAGCGTCCTTTCATTTAAATCTGAAAAGCGTAGATGAGCTTTTACTCCTAGGGTAATTAAAGAACCTTATTCAGGTGCTATTTATTTTTACTATAAATGAGCCTAATTCCGCACACGTAAACAGTGCGGAACAAGTTTATTGCGTATATTCAGTTGAGTCATCATGAGCTGTTGAGGTTCTTGAAGGCAGATCTAAGCGACGCATTCAGTCCTTAAACTAACACCTCGAGCCAGTCCATCGAAAGAGAAACTTAGTCTTAATACTTATGCTGAAGTGATTTGGCGCGGAAACCGAGTTTAATGACTTAGACTTCCTTGTATCTTTATTATAAATTCTGGCTGGCTGACTCCAACCGAATATTAATATCATCGGACACTTAAGACACCATTTCCTATTCCAGTTATTTTTCGTCCTTCCTCGCTTTAATAACCTCAGTTTCTGAGATGGAAACGGAACCCGAACCCCATAGTATTTACACACTTTACTTTTGACGTTCTGATATCAATTATGGTAGTTTGCTAAAGTCCGGAAGTGCTGAGTGTGCGCACAAGTCGCACGAAATGTAATTAAGTTTAATTTCAACAATATCATACGTTAATTAGTCCCTCTTTTATAACTTTAGATTGCTCTACCATACGTGAATGGCTAGGAATTTTAAACATAAAATATCAAAAGGTAGCCTTAAAAACTGCTTACAGTAGTATCATGACACCTAATGCCGTGAAATGGGAGCTTTTTATAATAATATTCAGGAAAATTGTGCACTGAGCACCTCTGTTAAATATTCAAAAGTAACCAAGGGCTCTTCTGTAATTTCGTCGCTTACAAAGAGGAATAATCCGTTCTAAAAGTAAGCGTACTAATTGCATCGTATAAACTGGAAGGCAGGCATCCCAAGAAATGTAATTTCAAGAAAAGGCGTCCTTTAAGAGAATAAGTAAATTTATTCGTCGCTTGAGAAAAATGTCCGAACTGTTCTTTGCACATTGTTCTCAAATCTGAT